AATTTAATAAAAAATTAAGTAAAAAGAAAATGATCACATAAATTCGAAGATAATACAAAGAGTAAGATAACTGAATTATCGTAGGCGTGGTTAAAATTAAAAAGAGGCGAAGGATGTGATGCGCGAAATGGAACAAAATGTTTGACCGAGCACCATTTGAACTCGCCTGAGGGGGAGGGTGCATTTCCCTTGCGCACCGCGCAAAAAGAAGAAAAAATAAAAATAAAGAAAATACACACATAGACACATACACACACACATAGGTACGTACATTTATATATATCCTGTTGGAAAGTGCCTCCATTATAAGTGTCTGGAAAGGGCACAGGTAAGAACAGCGTGTGGGTCTCCCTTCCTATCGCAATCTGTCATTTTTTTCTTACGTGCTATTTTTTCTTTCTTTCGGTGGAAATGTTCCTAAAAATGGACAGCTCTCGGTCTGGTAACATAAAATAAGTGAGAAAAAAAAGCGCATTTAATCGCTGCTAAAATGTGAGTTACCCGTTAATCTTTTTTTTTCATTTTTTCGTAAAAATTTTCCTTTTTGTGCTTTGTTATATCTCTTCCGAGTTGGCTACACCACTGTTTGCGCATGGTTCATATGACTTCTGCACCATCTGCTCAACTTTTGTTGGCGCACCACGAGAGGAAGATGACCCAAAAAAAGTCTGCGAAAAAAACCACCGTCGCTTGATAAATCCTCGGAACAAAAACAAAATTAATTAAAGTTAATGGTGTCCATGTCATCAAAGAAATGAAGAAAACCTTCATCCCAGTATTCACAATTTTGTCAATAATTTCTGACTTCCTTTGATTTTTTAACATACCATTATAAAAAAAAAAAATTGTTAAGTGGATAGGTCCAAAAATAAAATTATCAAACAATGTAGGTATAAAAGATTTATACAAAAAAGTGTTCGGTTTGGACTTTATAAAATTTGCTAGAATTTTCCCATACCACCATGTCATGATTGGCCCCTCTAGGGTTAACCCAATAGTGGACATTCTGAGCGTTCTTAAAAAATCATATTCATTGTCTTTTTTATGTAATTCCATCATTTGACAGGCTATGTCGGCTATGAAATATAACGTACCCGCTATTAGGCAGTTCATTAATAGGAGGTGTTTTTCGAATAAATTGTTAATTATTTGTGACATTGTACTGGTGTAAGGGGATAGAATTCCCTTTGGAAGTTTCCCATTTTTTGCGCTACTATGAATCTTGTCTGTGTTTCGACTGGTATGTAGATCTATTATGGTTCTTTTTTTCCCCGCGCTGGGTGCATGAGTGTTTTCATTGTGGCGTGCGCAGTGCGCATTTGGATTGGCGCTTTCGGCGCTGCCTTCACTGCTGCTTTCTACCGTCGATTCGCTGGTGGTCGCACTAATACTGCCGGTTCCCTCGCAGCTTTTTCCATCGTTCTGATTTTCCCCCGTATGTACGCCTTTCCGCAATTCAATTTGGAAACATCTGTTCTTCCCCCGTAAGATCACAATAGTGCTTGAATTTTCTTGAGTGATTACGCGCCCCTGCGTTGTTGCGCTTTGAGTGGTGAACTTGCCTGTGTTCATGCCTGCCTTGGAGGTATCGTTACGCATCACGTAATGCGCGTAGTTGCGGTTATCAGTTGAGTTCGCCCTGTTCATTGTATCCCCTCTTAAGTAACTATTTATTGTGTCGGTCATCTTTTCACTAGCCTTTTCATATTCACTTCTTCCTACTTTGGGCGTCTGAAATTGGCTTAATTGCATCTTCGTGCTGAAGGACAGGCTACTACTTTTTACCCTAACGGCTTCATGGTTTGATAATTTCGAATGTGTACACCTTTCCGCAAAGTATGGTCTTTTGAAATTGTAATCTATGTGTGGGGAGAGAGAGGAAGTGGGGAAAAAAAAAAATTATAAAAGTATTCATTTCGTACGCAACTCGGCATCTAAAAAGAGGGGGGGGTTCACAAACAGGTACACACACATGCTAATTGGTGGTTGGAGAAACATTTTGGTAAAAAAGAAAAAAAAAGGAGAAAAAATGCGAGGACTGTTTTATTCTGCAGAGTTGAAATAAATATACAAAGCGGTTTTCCCCCAACTGTCTACGTGCACATAAGGGGAATTCTAGACACATGGTACGAAGAGGAGTATGAATTGCCAGTGCAGTTCGAAAATAAAGTTGAATTACCTTTTACCGAGGAATTCACATTTTTAAACACGAAATTTATATGTTTTCTCTTAATATCCATGTACGCATTTATCAGCATTATTTATCCTTGCTGGGTGCTCTTCCAGAAATTTGTTATAGGTGGCAGCTTTTACCTGAGCTTCGTTCGGGTTGATATCTTCGTGGGGGTTGAAAAGGTAGATTCAGATTTTCTTACTTTCCAAAGTGTTTTTTTTTTTTTTTTTTACTCAGTTCAATTATGTTGTTCACAAAAAAGGATTCTACATGGCCGTTTCTTTAACATATATAGGTTGCCAAAACTGATGTGGAAACAAACACGCGTTAAGGGATACGAATATTGTGGTAAATATACAGTACGTGCCTCTCCCTTTTTTTTTTTTTTATGAATTAATTTTTCATTCCAGTAAATTGTAAATTGCAGCGATTCGAACATGAGCCATCTTCCCTTATGTCATTCTGTTTTCTTCATTATCTTGTATTTAGCGCATATTCTTATGCTTTTCCTTTTTTTTACGTGACGAAAAAGTGTACTCTGTTGCAGCGTTCCTTTTTATAATGTATATACGTGTTTCAAGGAATCATTGGAGTTGCATATGCAATACAAAAAAGGGGGGGAAAAGTAAAAATAAACTACCGTTTCGTGAAATGGTTAAACTTTCCTCTACTTAAAATGGGGGGAAAAAAAAGAAAGAGATAAAAAAATTAATTACATGATGAAAAAACCGCTTATGTTTAAACAATTTAAAAATTTAGAAATTTTTAAGCAGTTTATATTTTATCACCCCACTGGATCTTTTACCCATTGGGGACATCAAAAAAGGGTTGAGAATTTTTTTCAAATTTGAAGAATTTTTTTTTTTTGTACATAATAAACGTAGCTTTTCTTTTTTTTTTTCCTCCTTTGCCTTTATGAGGATGATGCATTTTTACATTTTGTAGAATTATCTTTGCATCTGTTTCGTGGGGAAAACATGAAGATATACAGTGTGTTCTCTGAGCAGATAATAATACATAAAAAAAATACGTAGGTACAAAAATGCATCCCTGCCGTTGAAGAGCCTGGCAGGAAAATACAGATCTGAAGGTTTACACTTCAAGGCGAAGGGAGGCTAATCATAACTGACCGTTGCGTTGTTATGGTTAAGGAAAAGAAGAAGAACAAGAAAAAAAAGAAAGTTACAATAAAGTTTTGCCTCACTATTTCACGTTATTTCTTCTGACGTCTTGGCATTCTGCACAAATAATGGAATTTTTTTTTAGTACCTGCTGAATAATTTTTATGAATATTTGTTTTAAGTGTACCCCGCGCGAGCATTTATAACATTATCAAACCACACCCGGTATGATATTTATCTTAGCCCCTGATCCATGTGTGCCTAATTCCGTGAACTTCGAAATGGTAAAGGTAGCGTATGCATCAGGGGGTACTCACAATTATGCATAGTACGTTCGTTTCGCTTTTTTAGTGAAAAGTAAGGTATAGTTGTGCATTATTAGTCATGGGCCGAGGCATTTGCTCTATGCGCGTTTTTTTTACAGGCCAGTGGTGATTTAACGGATAAAAGACACCACTGCAGTTGATAGGACGAATGTTTTTTCGGAAGCAATAAAGAAGGAAAAGGGTATTGTACACATACACATAAGCACACACGTGAGCGTATTTATCAACATTTTTATACAGCCGACGTGGAACAGTCCTTTCATGCTTTTGTTTTTTCCTCGTTCCTCGTTAGGATGAATTTAGTCGACTACGAACTTTCCAGCGACGAAGAACGCCGTGAGGTACACCAAAAAAGGGAGATTCAGCACGGAGATTCAGCAGAGGAGAGGAATAAATGCATAGAGAATAAAGAGAATGAAGAAAGGAGAAGAGACAATAGCGCTAGTAAGAATGGAAATTACGGTCTTGGGGGAAATGAAACCGATAATGAGTGTGCTAAAAAAAAGGCTCATATCCATTTAGCGGAGAAATGGGATGCAGCTAGAGAAGACGCATCCGTGGGGGATAAAATGCGCGACGCAGATAAAATGCGTAACGATGGCATTGTAGAGGAGAAAGGGGAACCCAGTGAAGCGCCTTTATTGAGTAAATTAAAAGGCGCAGAAAAAATGTCACATTGTGGTGGTGAGGATGAGGATGACGGTGAAGATGACTGCGCTGATGTCCTTGGTACCGAAGTAAGGCCCGGTGAACAGCACAAGAGAGAGCAAAACAAACAGAGGAGCGCACCAATAGTGAATGAGCAGACAGACAACCGGATTGCGAAGGGAGCCAACCTCCTAGAAAGTAACAACCTTATCAATATCAGCGTAAACGAAAACAATTTTGATGACTTATTTTTCCTGCCCCCAAATGAATACTCAGATTGTCTGAACCAAAAAATAGAGGAATTGTCAAAACTGTATAAAATAGATTTAACGATTAATAAAAATATAATTAACTCAAATGAATATAAGAATCCCTGCATTTTGGAAAAAATTATGCAGATTTTTCAAATTGATGTGTATTCATCGAACTATCCTTTGAATATTTACGACCCTCATGATTTTTTATCCATTGATTTGTTTAACGAGCAAGGTGAGGAAACTGATCAGAAGAAAACCAAAACGAAGTGGTCTAACCATTGATAATTACTTCACATTTGATACGTTTCACAAGGTTGTTCTGCATCCTGGAGGGTGGTGGCCATTACACGGGCATAATCTCTATGTTGTGTGTGAGGGGTGCCAAATGTGTTAACATGTCTTAGGAGTAACCCTGCTGATAGATAGTCAAAAGAATAGCAGCAACGAAGTATACCGTAGGGGTGGGATTGTAGGATATTCTCTGGGTAGCTGCAAATATGCAACAATGCCCCTGCCGATGGGGGAGGTAAAATAGGCATCCACGTTGTCCATCCCAGCAAGCGCACTTGGGTCGCTTCATTTTGTGACAAAAAAAATGAGCAAGCATAGTACTTAACGTTTAATTAGAGTTAAAAACTGTACATTATTATCCTATGGGGGGGGGGGAAAATAAAACTTCCTCTTATGTTATTCAAAGATAAAAAAAGAGGACGTTACACATGGGATAAATGCAATTGGGTGGGCACAAATGGAGTCAGATGGGGAAAGGCAGGACGGGGGCACCCGTGCAACGTACGCAAAAAAAAAAAAAAAAAAAAAAAAAAAAAAGATTTAAAAATGCCAAAAAAATTTCAGTAATATTTCAAAAAAATATATCTAAAAAATGATTAAGAACAAAAACAAAATTTACATCGAACGAACCAAATGACCGCATCATTGTGCCATAACGTGTGGCTGGCCAGATGTGCAGCCATAACCTCGCCAATTTTGTGAGCACACAACGCAATGGTGTAGCAGTTTTAAAAAAGGGATCACATAAAACAGGGGAAAATATCTCCATGGTGGAGGCGGGCCTGTGCCCTCTCCCCCCCCTTTTTTTTTTCTTTTCTTTTTTTCTCTGGGACGCACAAAGAATAGGAACTACTCCTCACTTACTTGGAGTAACACCATAAGATAGATAATTCGAAATGAAGGAAAACTTATCAGGAGAGCCTTGCAAATATTTAAAAAATTCATCAAAATTGTTGATGGCATTTTTGGCCTTTTCCTTCAGTAACTTCTTTTCATTATCCTTATTTTGACAAAGGATGCAATGTTCCTCCCCATTTAGACAATAAAAATGATAGGAATGGTTACACAAGAAATGGATAATTGGGACGGATAACATTTCCTTGCAGATGGAGCAATAAGTATTATCAATAATGTGAAAGTTGTACTTTCGGCTGGCTTTTTTTTTTTTTTTAATTTTATATAACTCCCTTTTATCTCTGACTATTTGAGCATATTTTTTATTTATATTTCTATTCACTTGGTTTATATACGAAATCACCATTTTTTTCACGCACCCATAATTTTTGTTGTACTTTCGCAGAATGCTTATCAGGTGCAGCAACGATATGGATGATTTTTTATTTAATGTTTTTACAAACCGCCTGAGGTACTTGTCATCATTTAGTAATGACAGGTAATAGAAAATGTAATTGTGGAAGATGGAGCCTTTTACCTTCATGAGGTGCATACACATGTTAAATAACTTTTTCGCAAATTTTTGATTTGTAATTTGTATTAAGTTGTAACTTCTTAGAGGAGGATTATGACTGTGAAGTTTCATTTGTTGCAGTGGGGGGTGTAGAGTCTGCTTTGTGTAATTCAGTCTGAATTTTTTCACCATTTTTAGGGTCGTAAAAAGGAAGTACATATCATGCTTGTTCATTTTATTTGATACGTAAAGAAGCCCCTTGTTGTAGTTATAAATGGACAGCAGAATGGCAGATAAGAAGGTTATATTTTTATCTTCATTTTTGATGAGCTTATCTATGTTGAAGGTGAGGACGTGGTTCTCTTTTTCTTTTGTCTTGTATTTCTGAAGCAGAATTTGCATCACGGTGACAAACAGGATGTAGTCATATTCCCCATTGAAGATGTTGAACTCTATCTTTTTGTTACTTATGATGTTGGCTGTTGTGGCAGTTTCGTCGTATAGTGTTGTGTCGTTGGCCAGTGGGGGGGGGCTATCTCTTTCGTGGGTTTGTCTTCGGAGGATGTTCCCCTGCTTTATCGAAAGCTTTTGCCAATTTTTTGGGGAATTCCTATCTGTGTCATTTGCCTCCACCATGCTTCTTTTTTCTCCCCGCCTTGAATTCCTTTTATCGAGAAATTTAAGGATAAAAAGAAAGAGAAAATCTATGTTGTCAAGGAATAGGGGAATAAATATTGTCAAATTTAAATTGTACTTTTTAATGATCTTTTTTAACAAAAAAATGGTGCGTTTCGGGAAATATTTGATAAACTTGTATCCATATCGAAAGAGTAGAATGCATATATTTTCTACGTCGAGCTTGAATATATATTTGAGGCTCTTTTCGTAATTTTCAAATTTGTCAATCAGGATGGACATGTAGGTCAAGTGGTCTTTATTCTTTTTTGAAAATTTCAAAACGATATTGTAGTAGCCAACGTTGGATAAAAACTTGTACGTTTTTTGCAAATTTATTTTATTTTTATTGTTCCTTATGAAGGATATTATTTTTTTCTTTTTGCATTCTTTCTTGTAGCAAGTAAGAAGCATCATGGTGTGCTCATCATTGAACAGATGAACTTGGTGCAAATTTTCCAAATATCTGGATAAATATTCATATAACTCTAGGTTTAAATATTTGTGAATAACGATAGCTGTTTCTAGGAAGCCTATGGTCTTGATGTAATGGTGTATGGCTAACTCATATTGCTCCTTTTCGAATAAAAAATCGGCATATATGTGATGCACATGGCCGAAGTTAATCGTGTGGTAATTTTTGTTCAAGTCAGCAAATTTTAATAACCAGAGGAACAACTTTTTCTTTTTAAACATGTGCAGAATTTCGTTCATGTTCTTTTCTTTTATGACAATTTTTATTTGATTTCTACAATTTTTAAAAATTTTGTTTAATTTAAATAGCTTTTTTGAGTAGTACTGTTTGTCTTCTGCGCTGTTATTTCCATCTCTCTGGGCGTCATCTTTTCGATCCAAAAATATATCATACTTTAAATCGACCTTCAGCAGGTTGCTACTTCCACTATTATTGTTAATACTGTCATTGTACATTTTTAGAATATCGAAACTTTTCGATTTGCTGCTTTCTGTTTCTTTGAAGATGTTGCTTATACTATCACTTTTGCTGTTCTTCCCATGGTTTACTTCTCCAACTGCGTTCCATTTCATTTTTAGCTGTTCGTAAAAATAAAACTTGTCTACCTTTACCTCCGGCTGGTGTATGTATTCGTCCACAATTAGAAACAGTAAGTTGTTAAAAAATACAACGTTTGTTATGAGGCAGTTAAACGTCCCTCGGAAGACCTGCAGCTTCATTTCTTCATGTATCACATATATGTTCACATAAAACTTTCTTCTAACTTCCGTGATTAGGATTAAATAAAATTTTACTGCGAACAAATTTATTACTTTATTTTCTAGCAAAATGTATTCCAGACTTCTATTGCTGAGGTCCAGCACAAAGAGAAGTTTCAATACATTGTGGCAGATGTACAGCACGTTTATTTCTTCGTTGTATGTGCACAACACCGCCTCGTGGAAAGGAGGTGATCCGTTATCATTATTGCTGCTACTGAGGTGATTACTTGTGGGATCTTCTTCACCATTGTCGCTGATGCTTGTACCTCCATTGGAGATTCCTCCGCTCGTTTTCAAAGAATAATTGTTCTCCAACGCGATGCATTCGATGAATGTATATCTTATGGACGAATCTTCTATGATCAGTCTGTACACATTTATTAAATTCTTTTTCATCACTATGAAGATGCCCTCTCTACATAGGAACATATTTTCGTAAAGGTCTTCCTCCTCCACTTGAGTTAATTCACTTTTCGTGTTGGAGTAATCATTATTTATATGATAAAATGAGATTTTTTTATTTTCTAGGGTAATTATATACCCGAGGCACTTCGAAATTAGCGTCTTCTTTATATTCTCGATGTTCTTACTTAGTTGTAATTTTTTCAGCAGGGTGAAGTTGTACGCCCTAATGTTGTAGATGCTGCATACTAGGGCATTTTTGCTTCTGCTAAAAAAAGGAAGGGGGGGGAAAAGTAAAGGATAATATGGACTCTCGGGGGGAGAGGTTTGCGGGATCGCTCGACCAGTCACGTGCGGGCAAAAGGGGCATAAAGCGAATGGCAATGGTGCGGGTACAAAAAAAGGGGAATCACCTAGCGATGGGGTAATGTATCTGTTTTTTTGGCTGCGTATGTTCCTCCTAATGTGGATGAGCGGCACTCCCTCTCATTCGATGCCCTTTTAGCACTGCAGCATTTTCGCTCCAGTCATGTGCGTGCGTGGGGGATCACCGACTGGGGCCAAGCATACTCATGCGATGACCTCGCACTAGCGCAACTCGCGGAATTACCCAAGGACAATGAGGTTATTCGTTTTGTCACAAAAACAAAAATCGACTACCAACAGATCTGAGTTTATTGTGGTAACATTTAGATTAACGGGGTCTATAAAAAGCACTTTGTCTACAAACACGTTGATAAATTTTTTGGAGGTCGAAAAATATATCCCTTCATAGCTATTCAAGAAGTTTTGTACTTCACCTGTGGGGGTGAGGGGGCACACGCGTATCGCAAATATGGAATCAGAAAAAAGAAAAAAGTGCATAAATCCGTATACAGTATGGGGTTAAACAAATGCAGCCATGTGTATACCCTACGCATCCATGCACTTGCAAGCTTTACAAAAGTGCGCTTGTATAACAGAAGGTACATTTGTATGGAAATATATAATTTGTTCATGATGACAAATACGATGGGATTGTTTTGTTTCCGCTCCCTTCCTTTACCTGTATCTTTCGTTTGGTCTCTGTCGAAAAGCTGCAGTTTTCTAAAATTGAACATCTTGTCCGTATGTACATGAATATAATGTATATTGCTGCTAAGTAGATTTTTTTTTCATTTTTTTTAAACTTACAAAATAATTACAGAACTAAAAAATACTATCTCATTTAACAAGCAAATATATATAACCCTTTCTTCCAGTAGCGCTGTTTTATTTTACTTTTGTACTGTTCCCTCTTTGTTTTTTTCTCAATATGCCAGGAACTCCCATGAGAAGGGTTTTTCACTTTACGCTTAATGGGCTTTGGCGCATATATTTCTGAACTTGTACAGTTGAAAGTCCTATATATGCACAAAACTGTCATTTTTTTTTCAGCCCTATTTACGCCAAACATATTATTTCGGGTGATAACTGTGGGGAGAAATTTTCTACTCCAACGCACTTAAGTAGAAATTTGCGGCTGAGGGGAAAAATGAAAATTGGTATGCGTGAAAAAAAGAGAAAAAAAAAAAATATTGGGAGGACTTTCAGTGACTATATTTGGGACGTTCTGGTAAGATGGAGCTTTTTGCACTTAAAAATGGGAGGCACGTGTTGGCGCAATTGAAAGCTATGCGTAAGATAAAATGGCGCAAAAAGGGAAGATGTAAACACAAAAAGGCAAAAGAAAGCGTAATGTAACAAAACGAAACAAACACAAAGGGAAAAGGAAGCCCAATTGATAACAGCAATAAAAAGAAGAACAAAGAAAGGATGCTAAGGGAGAAAATTCCAACGAATTTAACCCTGTCAAGTGAAATGCGAGGGTCATAAGTGGGAATATATATATGCCCATACTTGTATGGGAGCATACATACCCATGTGCCGCTCCATACCCATGTGCTTATGCTAGACAACGGCTAACCGTGCAGAAGTAACAAAATGAATGACCCGAAGGAAGGCGTGAAAATAGAATTGCTGCGCCTGAGCCCCCCAGCATTGAACCTAAACATTTGGAACTTATTCAAGATTAAGGAAGTAGGAAATATCGATTTTGAAAAAAGTGAAAGTAAAGAGGACCTGAGCTTGTCAAATGAATTCAGCCTAAGTCTGCCGATGAATTCTAGGAAGATATACATTGGGCAGGATTTGAAGTCCCAAATTAATATTTCCAATAATTTGAAAAATGAGATTCAAATATACACAATCAGTGTGGATGTTATGACAAGGCAGACCGCGTTTAATATTTATAGAAATGTGGAACATCTAACACTACCGTCGAATTCTTTTTTTAACTTTTTAACAACTTTTCTAGTGACCTTCGCGGACATATTCACGTAAGAAGGGGCATAGAGGAGGGTGATAAAGGCGCATCGTTTGGTGGTGGATGTTAGCATTTTTGTGTGCTGGTTACGAGTGGCACGCCCATCACGCGAGTGCACATGTGTTACCATGCACACTGTAACTCTCTACTTTAGACCAAATTATTTATTCCATTTGTTACTTTTTTTTACCTGATGACTCTTTTGCTGTGGTTGTCTTTTGGGAAACACGATTATCCTCTTTTTTTTTTTATTCCTTTTTTCCTTTTTTCTTTTGCGTCCTCCACAGAGTGCACTGCGCCGTGGAATACCTACAAGGAAGTGAAAAGAAAAAGTTGAGGAAGGACTTCAACTTTATATGTAAAAATCCGTTCCACTTGAAGACATTGATACTGCAGAAGGAGGACAAAATATACATAGAAGCTGTGGTGAGAAATATCGAAGAGGATAACGTAATGCTAAATGATGTTATATTTAAGGACATAAAATGCGAACTGATAAAAAGTGAAGACGCGCTTAAAACGCATGATGGGTTGTACTATTTGAAGCAGAATGATGAGTATTCCATGATTTTCTGTGTAAAGGATGAGGAGAGCAAATTACACATTTTAAAAACCCCATGTGATGAAAATATAACCAACATAGAGATGCTTTTCTTTACAAGTAATGGCGGTAAAGGCATAAACAATTCGCACTTTTTAAAAAAAAACATAATTACAGATAATGTCCGGATATATCTGCAGCAGAATGACCATCCTTTTCACATAGTAAATAAAATGTACAAATTCGAAATTGTGTTTGAAAATAATACGGATGAAAGCATCCCTCTGGAAATATTCATTCACAATAATTCCGATATTCATGTGGTGAATAATTTTGTAAAGGCCCACATAATTGAACAGAGGAAAAAAGTTTCCCATTTTTTTTACGTTTTGTTTGTTAACCCTGGAGTTCATTTTTTTAATAAAATTACGATATGTAATAAGAGGACTAAAAAAAGAATAGATTACGTGAGGCTGTTCAGGTTCTTCGTGAAGTAGCGCGCATGTAAGCATGCACGAGTGCAACGTGTACCTGATGCGTGTCTACATGTGTGCATATATATACTCGTGTGAACAAGTGGCTCCATGCGAGTGTACACATATAAGCATATATACCTACCCGCCGGTGGAAACGCAAGAATTATATCCATTTATGTGCGTATACATACGACTTCCAAATGAATAGCGTAAAAAAAAAAGAAAAAAAAAACTGGTGGACAATGCGATATATGAAAAAACGAGAATAAGTTTTTCATATTCGGACAAATAATTTTTAAAATTATAGGAAAAAATAAAAAAAAAAAAAAGAAAAAGAAAATACAGTTTGTCTACTTTATAAATGCTGTGGAATTCACAAAAAAGGGGTGGTGCAAAAAAAAAAAAAAAAGCTCACTTCTTTGTATTTTGCTCTAGAACAAAATTAGCCGCATTACCCACGATCAAATTGATTCTTCGAACTTTCGTTTCTTCTTTGTTTACTGACAAGTTGCTTTCTTCGCATTCATCTTCGCTGGACGTATAATCATTTAACTGGTCTTTGTTAAAAAAATCTACTTCGTCGTAAAAGGTACTTTCAAAGTAATGTTCATCGAATGTTAAGTCGTTACATTTTTTCTCAAAGTAGTAATTATTGTACGCTTTCACCTTCCCCAATTCGTTATGATCAAAGTAGTAAAAGCTGACATATCCGTCTGAACTCGAGCATGCACATATGTTCCCCAGGTTATTCCATGATATATCTGTGATTGGGCAGAGGTGTATATTTTTGACTATGCTAATTGGCGTGTCCAGAATTTCGCTGTCGTAAAAGTAGACGCTTCCGTCAAAGGTTCCCAAAGAGTAAATGAATCTCTCCTCCTTTTTCTCCTTCCTTTCGCAAACCTCCAGCACGTTTTTTTCGTCACAGCACTTGTCGGCGACTTCCTGCTTTTGGTCGAGGCGCGCCCCCCCTTCGTTACGGTCATTTTTTCCATTTTGGTCAGTTTCGCTGTTTTCGTCATTTTCCTCATTTTCGCCGTTTTCTTCGTTATCCTCGTTATCCTCCTCGTCGTCTTTGTCCTCGTTATCTTCGTTTTCATCGGCATCCTCCTCCGTCTCCTCTTCTGAGTCTTCCGCTTGGGCCGCCAAATCTCCGCACTCCTCCTTCTCTTTTTGGTCCTCTTCATTCTTGTCAACGTTATTCGACAAGGAGTAGTCCCCTGTGGAGTCTATGAAATCCTCCTTCTCGTCATCATACTGGACGTCGCTATCCGAGATGGTGCTGCTAACATCTTCGCTAACATCATCTTGCACTTCAGTGTCGTTAAACAGTAAAGTTTTCTCATAATTTAGCTTCATCAAATGTTCATAATTTTTTAATTCGTTAATAAACCCCGATTCGTCGAATATTTTTCTTTTTTTATTCACACTGTTAGATCCATCTGGATCATTTGACTCTGAGATCATCAGATGCTTGTAGCATCGTTTGAGGATATTCTGGTGTGTTCTTAACTTAAAAGTGTTATAATTAAATTTGGCTACTAGAAAATGGCTGGTTTGAGAAAAAACAGTAAAAAATGGGATATTGTACCTAATGAACAAATTCTTATGATATATGTAGAAGCAGCTGAACGCTTTTGTCTGATTGATGATTTTTACATTTTCTTCTGGCTTTGTGTTTTTGTCATGAAGCTTTTCAATTTGTTCGAATTGAATGCCACTTGGTGTTATTAGAAATTCTCCATTGGGGGAAAAATCAATGCGTCTGAAAAAGGAAGGCAGCATTTCTTCGCTTGAGAATAAGCATCTTTTTAATTTTTTTTCTTCCTCTTCTTCTTCTTCTTCTTCTTCCTCATCTTCTGGTTCATTCTCTCCCAATTCCTTTTCTTCTTTTCGCGCGAAATTTTTTTTTTTATCTGCATCATCGTCATCTTCTTCATGGTCCTCATTTTCCGCGCGTGTCCCCTGCGTCTGGAGTGTTCCCTTCTGCCCGACTTTTTCTTTCTCCGTTTGTTCTTCACCTGCTTCGCCTTTCCTTTCATTCGTGAATTCTTCGGTCAAATCACCCGATCCGCTGTGTATTTCTTTCTTTTCGTCCCTTTTAGTTGCAGAGTACTCATGCCTGTCTGCGCCCTTCTCGTTAAACTCATACTCATCATACGTAATGTAAGCGGTGGATCGTTTTTCCAGCTGGTCTGCTTTTATATTTTTTATGGAATTTTCCAGTTTCCATGATTTCCCATCGTTTTTTTTTTTCCATATTTTGAGTGTTTGGTCAGCACTGAGAGAAGCCAGAAATTCGTTGTTCAGATCTAGTGATATTCCTTGGATAATTCCTGTATGTCCTTCTAAAACCTTTACTTTGCAATTCGAGTTTTTAACAAATTCGATTATGTTAATGTTATTATCCTCGTTTCCTATGTATAACGTGTCGTTATTGGACCAAGTGATGCTGTTAATAACTCCACTGCATCTGAATGATCCCACTATGTTCCACCATTCTTTATAATCTAGAAAGCTTATGTCATACCCTAGAGGAATATTTCTTGGTTTTTTGCTCTTTTCCCAAATGTATAAAAATTTATCTTCCCCTCCGCTAGCTAAGTATCTGCCATTTTTGTTAAAACGGACACAATTTATTTCTCCGTTATGACCTATAAACCTGCTTAAACATTTGACTATCAAGTCGTCTTTTATGTATATTCTCCATAAGTGCACAAATTCATCGGCGCCACAAGTGGCGATATTAAACTTGATGGATTTTTTTTTTCCTTTTCTTGTTTTTTTCTCCTCTTCGTCTTGGCTGTCACTATCTACATGTTCTTCTTCGCCTTTCAGGGTCGCATGGGTGGGTTTCTCTTGGGGGGAACTGTTCCCCGAACTGGTATCACAGCAATGATTTTTCTTGACTATGCTATTTTTTTCGTTATCATCTGCGCCGTTTTCATCACTATGGCGGTTCACCGTATTGTGAACGCTGCTTACCTTGCATTTTATATCCTTCCCGATTAGGACTTCCCCGTTTTTTTCAATGCCATTTGGATGAACGGAAGACAAGGGGGAATTATTCCCCCTCTGCACTTCATTCTCCACTGAAAAATGTGTGTCACATTTATTCTCTTTATCCTTTATAAATTTTTTAAATAACTCATATTTCTTGTTTAGCTTTTTGATGCTGTAGTAGTTGGGGTGTGGTTGTATGTCCACAGAATAAATTCGGTCGCTCCGTTTGTTATCTTTGCTATGCCACAATATTTGGGGTAAATACACGTGTGGCATTTTTCTTCTTACGAAATGGGAAAAATAAGAAATGAAAAAAAAGGAGTGAAATATGCAAGACACAAAAAATGAGAAAGATACGAGAAATAAATAGAGGCTGGGCGGGAGTAAAGCCTCGATGTGAAACGTTGATGCGAAGGGAAAATTTGGAGGGGGAGGAGTGTGCGAAGAAGGAACAAGAGAGAAAAAAAAAAGGAAAATAGGATAAAATAATGAGCCTAAAAATTCGACACTGGTAAGGGAAAATAAAAAAAAAAAGAAGAAAAAAGAAAAAGCAGGCGTAGTGGAGCAGGCCAAAGTCAAGAATAAATTGAGAGAAAAATAAAAACGTGGGAAAATTAAACGAAATATTCGCAAAACTTTACAAAAAAAAAAAGAGAGAAAAGATATTTTAAAAAATAAGTTACATTATTTAATTTATGCCTATAAGCACGAAGTCATTACAGTCAAAGATGAAATAAATTTTCTATTAAGAAAGTGTTACTCAAATGGGGAACACAATATTTCCTGGGGCTTCGCACGTTAGTGAAGGTACCCTGAAGCTGCTGACGTAAATGTGTAATTTGAAATTCCTGTAATAGGAACTTACGTTTTAACGTAAAAATAAAATGCCGAAAATGAAGAAAGTGACGTAAGCGAGATTAATTGAGAGGAAAGAAAAGAAAAAGAAGCAGAGGGAGAGAAGAAAACTAATAATGAGAAAACAGATGAAGAAAAAAAAACGGGGAAACAGATAAGCAAAAAAGCAGAGAAGCAGAAGAACAGAAGAAAAAAAATCAGAAAAGCAGAAAAATTAATATCATACATTTGGAAAAGTAACAAGATGCTTATTTATGCACACATTATATAGCATATGTGAGCTTGTGTAGGTGTTAAAAATAGATGGTTACGGCGCGTATTCGCGGAGAAGCAAAAGTGGCAATGTAAAATGTTTTTTATAAAAATGTTTAACCCGCAGCAATGTCTATGTTTAAGAAAAAAATAAGAATACAGTCGTAGTTATAATACAATTTATTTAGAAAAAAGGAAAAAGAAATGGGTGAATTGGAAAAGAGGAAATGCTTACGTTCTTCGCGATACGCATGTCCACATATATGTGTACGTTATGTGTGGGGGTACATGTATGCACGTGTGTATATAATACTATGTATGGATAAAAGCCTAAGCACGCACCATGTATGTATCACTTTATAGTTGTGATTTTCCTCGCATTGTAGTTCATCATGTTAACTTGCATTGGCATTTTTTTCGCAGAATTGAGACAATATTTTAAAATAAAATATCGGCTACAAGAGAAGGCTAACAATAGCAATAAGAAACACAGAGGGGAGAGCGGAAGCAGCAGTGAGGACATTTACGAGCATGGCATTTTACGTTTGCTTTGTTCCACATATGTATGCTTCCTGCGTGTGTAATATATCTGTGTACAGCGCGCGCCCTAACATTTCGTCATTTTGTGATGAGTTACCCGTCTTTGCCACTCCTTTGTACGAATATGTCTTGGAAGTCCCAAAGGGGAAGGGAAAAAAAGAAATGCGGAATTGTAATAAAAATATAAGAATTAGAGATAAATTAAACGGAAGCAGAAAAAAAAAAAAGTATCTATTGCATTACTGCGAAGGTTTTTTTATTGCCATAAGAAAAAAAAAGGTGTAATTATAGTATCACATATGTCTTGGGGCATAACCCATATATTTAACACGCTCTCCGATTTTTGAAAAATCTTTTTTTTACCCATCTATTCTTAGCACACGTTTCGGTATTTTTCAGAATAAGTTACTCGTGAGAATGTTACAC